GGGTTGGGGGATTGGGGGTTGGCTGCTGTTTTTTTGAAGATCTTCATTTCGGGCCCTGCAGAGTGTATGGACGCGCGTCCGCAGAGGCGTCGAAAGGTCTATTTGCGCCTCGGGGAAGGTGGGTGTGGCAACACATGAAGGGCGTGTCCGCGAAGGAGGTCTGGAGAGGTGCTGTCACACGTGTCGCTGTCGACGACGGCGGCAGGCGAAGAATCGAGGTCGGGGCCCCTCCGTCTACTCCATGTTGTCGATGCGTCTGCGCCTCCTCCTGCATAAAGGTCGCCCGCTTGAGGCTTCTCCAGCATTGAAGTCCGGCGTACACGGTGCTTAGCTTTCACAACCACGTGGGACGCCCTGTGCCTTTTGTCGTCGTCGCAGCACACCACGATCACGTGCTCGCCCCTTTCATCGCATTCCTCCTCGTCTGGGACTTCTTCAGTGCCGTCGACGATCATCACTGTGGATCTTGTCGCCTTGTCGTGACGTCGACATTCCGCGTCGTGTAAAGCGCTCGCGTTCGCCACGCGGAGGTCTATTGACACCTGTTCAGACGACGCGGCCGCAGACTTCGACATCATTGTACGTGGACCACTCGCTCCTTCTCGCCGCAGATCCGTAGCGCCCCTTGGGAGGTTCGGCGGCCTTCAGTCACGAAGATCTTCTTCTCGCCGCGTAGCAGTGTCGGCAGGGTTGATCTCCTTCTCGCGTTGACATCCATGTCGACCTCGTGTGCGTGGCGAGGGCGTTTCTTCATCGTCTGTGCGAACGCGGGCGATTGAGGCACAACAATCTATTCGAAAAACGATTTTCGCGGCCTGTCAGCGGAACTACCATAGGCGGGGCACTCTCTCTTTGTCGCCGCGGATCTCTCTCGCGACTTGGGGGTTCGTCGTCGTCTCTGTTGTCTTCTTCTCGCCGCGGAGCAGTCTCGCCGGTGTTGCCTAAGTACTTCGGTACACCTGGACGCCTTGCTCCCCAGTGCGGCGAAGGCGGTTGCTCGTCGTTTTCGCGAACGCAAGCGTAGCCACACACGGCCATTGACGGAAGCGGCAAGCATGTCTGCGCGATGTGGCCCCCGTGGCAAGAAACGGGAAAACATCCCTGCGGACACTCAGGGGCTGGAAAGGGGTCGGCGGCATGTCCCCAAGGCGAAGAGGCTTCGTTCGGAAGAACCATCAGCAAGCCTGCCTCGGGGAAGAAGCAACGGAGGACACCTTGTCGGCACCTCGGGGAAGCACTCTTCGGAGGACACCTTGTCGGCACCTCGGGGCGGTCTTGGGCGACAGCTAACGAGGAGGAGGACGACGACGTGCTTACGACGGAGGAAGAAGCAACGGAGGACACCTTGTCGGCACCTCGGGGCGATCTTGGGCGACAGCTAACGAGGAGGAGGACGACGACGTGTTTACGACGGAGGAAGAAGCAACGGAGGACACCTTGTCGGCACCTCGGGGAAGCACTCTTCAACGGTCATCTGATCAGAACGCTGCGAGGAGATTGCTGACGCCCCCTCCGGAGGCGCAACAAGTGCGTGCCCACAATACCCCGAAGGCGAAGGAGGTTGTCGTCGACGTCGGCGGCGAGGACGACGAGCCCTTGGAAAGTCGTAGGCAGCGCAATGTCACACAAGGCGCCACGGCAACGACATTCAAGATACGTGGCGCGACTGAAGAAAGGCCACCTCAGGGTGGCCTTCCCTCCACGCCGTCTCAGCCGCGTCCGCACAACACGGCTGCAGAGGGAGGCTCCATGGAATGCGGCGGAGGGGAGGGGGCCCAGCAAGAAGCACGCGTGGCGAGCGGGGGGGCGATCGGTGGTGCAGCCGCGGGGTCTTCGGGCAATGTAGCTGCCGTGTCGAGAGCGAGAGAGGAGCTCCCTGTTGTGGAGCGGGAGGTGGCACGCGGCGACAACAAGGGTGATAGGGAGGATGAGGACCCCCTTTTGAGCCGGGTTCGGAGGGGAGGGACGGCGAAAGATCTCGCCGAGCGTGCCTGCCTGTGGGTTGATGACAAAGCGTTCTGGACGACGGGGGAGGGGACAAGACTGTACAACATCGTCCACGAAACGCAGCAGCACTTTGTCGCCATCGCCAACGGGCTGCAAGCGCCCGCCGTCCCCTGGAGCGTCGTCATGCCGAAATCCGCCATGAGCTTGACGAGGATTGCAGATCCCGCACAACTGCAGCAGGCGATCTCCCGCGCGATGACAGCGGAGAACATTGCTCTGCGCGTCTTGCACGGATGGGTCTTCAAGTCCGGAAACCGCCCCCAAGGATACAATGTCGCTTACCACTATGTGCTGGAGTCGGTGGCGACGGACATTACGCGTGCCATGTGGTATGGCGAGGAGTGGAGCAACGTCGTCAGTGCGGCCCTTTGCGCGCACACAATCAACCTGAACATGGACTTGCCACTGTGGTTTGCGGGCGCGAACATCGAGGACAGGCCGGAGGACGACGACATGGCGGCGCACCAGGAGTCGACCGTTATATGCATCGTGCATGCATTTCGCGCCGCGGTCCAAATGGGTGGCAACGTCGATGGCGGGTTCATCTCACACGACCGTCTGTCGAGGATTGCAGATTGCTTCAGGCTTTTGTTGGCGGCCAGCATGTGGTTGATGCGCATGGCGGGAGACGATCCGTGAAGCCACTACGAAGCCTTCTACTTCGCAAAGCTGGTCGCGAAGCCCAGCTCGTCGCGTCCATGCATCGCTCGTTCAATCATAGACGGTCCGTCATCCGAGCCACCAACGCCGTCACGGAGAGACTAGGGAAGGCGAACGCCACCTTCGGAGAGTACCCCAAGTACATCCCCGACTGCGCTTCCTGCGGCATCGTCTTCGGGCACGACGCGAGCATAACGGGGCCGGAGGACGCGAAGAGGAGGGATTGGTTGGGTTCGGGCCCCTTGGAGGACGACGACGACGACGATG